AAACTGAAATGGAGATGTTGCATGTGTGAGGACTTTGCGATTTGACTGTTGATTCTTTAGTAAAAGTTCGCGAGAAACACGATGGTGCCACTGGTTTTCTCTGAAATCATCTCCCAAGCTCAAAAAAAAAAGCTCTCAAATTGAGGCCAAAATGGAGGGGATATCCCACCTTACCCTGAGAGACACCTCTAGATCAAAACAAACTCTCCATGCAAAGATAGGGAGCAAATACATTGACAGGGTTGCCACTTTATTTGGGGATGACTCTAAAACTGAAAACACGGCAACCCTGCTAATGTATTTTCTCCCTATCTTTGCATGGAGAGTTCGTCTTGATGCAGAGGTGGACTCTCAGGGTAGCGTGGGATATCCCCGGCCATTTTGGCCTCAAATTGAGAGCTTTTTTTTGAGCTTGGGAATTGATTTCAGAGAAAACCAGTGGGACCATTGTGTTTCTCTCGAACTTTTACACTACAATCAACAGTCAAATCGCAAATTCCTCACACATGCGATATCTCCATTGGCCTGTATTGTTAAGGGAGTGACGGAGGTGAAGATGGAGGAACTTACGAGTGCAAGGAACCCGGATGCGACAAGTCTTACGACTCCGAGATAAAGCTACAGAGGCACATGAAATATCACAACTTGAAAAAGCAAGGACATACATGCTCTCAATGCGGTCAAGGTTTCAGCTCGAAACAAAGATTGCAGTATCATCAAGAATCGACAGGGCACGTCCAGGTCCAGGGTAAGTGCATTTCAGATCTTTTTCGTTTCTTTTTCTCTCTTTTCTTCTTCTTTTTTTCTTTTTCTTTTTTTCCTTTCTTTTTCTCCTCTTCTCCCTTCTTTTCTATTTTTCTTTCCCCCCTTTTTTCCCTTTATTTTTCGCGAATTATCGCAAAAATTCTTTTTAATTCTTCCTTTTTGCAAGATGTCGCAAAGATTCTTTTTTTTCTTTCTTTCTCGCAAGATATCGCAAAGATTCTTTTTTCCCCTTCTTTTTCGCAAGATATTGCAAAGATTCTTTTTTTCTTTCTTTCTTTTTCGCAAGATATCGCAAGGATTCTTTTTTTTCTTTCTTTTTCGCAAGATTATCGCAAGATAATCACGTTGAGCGTGTCATAAAAGTCTGAAATCCACTCCTTATAGCGGAATCTGCGCAGTTTAATAACGCACGCTTCTGAAAGCTTCCCGCGTCTACGGACAGCACGAATATTTCTCGATTTATTTTCGATCGATAATTTGTTTTCGATTTCCTGTAGAATTTTTCGTCGCTCGTGTTTAGAAGTTTTAAAGAATCTAGAGAATTTTCTCTGCGAAACTGTCACTTTTCCGCACTGAATAGAAACGCAAATCGGTTCAGTAAATGTAAAACGATATTTAGATTATTTTTTATCAAAATGTTGGAAGGAGGGATCCGAGGAAGCGTTACGGAATTTTACAGGGGGAGGCGGGCTAACAAAGCGTTACGGAGCGATACAGGGGGGGTAGAGGGGTGTAAAAAAACCGCAAATGTATAGCGTTGCGTAATTTACGGACGGCCTCTTATGACACATTTCACTACACGGAAAAAAATGAGTTAGGGTTGAGGACTAGTTTCTGCCCTTCAACAATACCGCGCGGTACCTGATTTCGCAGTCGTAAGCCAAGGTAGTGCTGAAGCCTACCTCGCGCTTGCGTTCCACGCTAGATGGCCCGTGACGTTCAGAAACAGATCTGGCAGCGCGTAGGCACAGAAACAGAAGGCTCCAAGGATAGATCCGGCAGGGCTAAAGCCTACTTGATGCAAAGTTGCCAAAATGTGCGAAAAAATCTGATTATACCCGTAGAGCATAATTTCACTGCGCACAATATAGTTTTTTCAATTATTTTTATTTTTTTTTTAATTTTTTATTTTTTAAAATTTTTCTTGCAGTTTATTTGGCTTTTCTTCCTGTTTTTTTTGTTGCTCAGGAAGCCATAGCTAGCTATAGACACGAGTTTTTACAAAGAAATTATTTGATTGTCAACGGGCATCAGGGAGACTTTTAGAACATTCATGCTCCATAGCTCCGGCTTTCAAATTTTCAGGGATTAAGGTCGAGTAGAATCTGTTTCTGCAGATTCACTCGTCAGTTCGGTGAAAATTTGTCGCCACCACCGGGATTCGAACCCGGGATCTATGGGTCTAGAGTCAGACACGCTAACCACTAGGCCAACCTGGCCAGCTTGCTTATGTCAAGGAAAAATCTGAGTTTTTGGGTGTTGATTCTTTTCTCATAGTATTAAACTATTACTTTAAGTAAAGTGCCGGACTGGGCAACGCAACGCGGGGCAGCCATGTTTCCTTTCCTCGTCCGAGGCGAATACGATGACGTAGTTGAGCAGTCCACGGCGCATACGCATCCCGGACATTCTAGCCTTCCGCAAGAGAAATTCTACTTGTGGAGACAAGCTTGCCGTGTGTGTTGCAGTCAAGCGGCGGGTAGGCGCTACGAACAGCGAGAGGTAGCGTTGACGAATACATGTTCTGTTCCTCAGGACTACCGACCTTAAAACTACCCATAGGTAGTGCCGAACCCTACCCTGATTTTTTTCCGTGTAAAACTTCCAACTGCCCATATGTCTCTTAATGTGTGTTCAAATATTATCATTCTTTATCTCCTCTTTTTCAAGCACCAAAACCGCCAAAACCGTATCCTTGCACTCACGAGGGATGCACCAAAAGCTATGGAAGCGCCTCCAGGCTTAGAGCACACATGAAAACTCACGAGGGATAAGCGACTTGTCTTTATGCTGCCGTGCTAAGGAAAAACGCCATATGAACCTCCAGGCGTTGCCAAATTCCCCGCGATAAAACGCGAATTTCCTGGTAAACTTATAAATATTTCCCTCCCAATTTTTCAGAAAATTTCGTCCGCAATCTTACCTAAAGATTCTGAAAATTTAAAGGAAAAATAGTCATAACTTCCCTCCAAAATAAACATTTTATCGAAGGAATTTGGCAACTCTCGAATGTTCATACGGCGTTCTTCCTTGGCACGGCAGTATTGCTGCCAGACTTTCTCAAGACCGTCAAACATGCGCGCACACGTTGCAGAAGAACACCCTGACAAGCCTCCCCCATCGGATCGACAACAATTATGAAATCACCGTCCAACAGTATACTTTTTGGAGGACCACTGTCATCACCTAGTCTATCGTGATCGCGAAGGAAGCCGTAAGCGCAAAAATGAAGTTTTGAGAAAATGGGCTCAGTGACTTCGGAGCGGAAAAATCGAAAGAAGCCTCCGTTTTTTGTCAAATTGCTACCAATTATCCGAAAGACTCTTAGAAATCGTCTTCTTCGTCGTCGTCGAATTTCATTTAGGTATCTTTTGATTTTAATTTTGCACTGGTTGATTTTTGAATTAGAATATTTATTTTTAAAAGCTTGACGACTTTCGCAAAATCGCGACGATACCTCGGATTTTATGTCACTGAGGATAAGGTTGTGAACCTAGCAATTCATATGGAATAACTTAAGATTGGTAACTGATGAGCACCCCTACAGGCAAGAGTAAATATTCTTAATTTCATTTCATTTATTTGCATCATGCTTACCCTCACATCCTGAATTTCATACATATTATGATCAGTATTGCAGTGAAAAAAAATTCTCCACGTTTTTACCAAGGTCCGTTGGTACCTTTACCATCTCAATTTTTTTTACTAATTATTGGTAATTTTATCAAGACAGACTGGTATAAGCTTATCTAAAAACCGGTATTTCTACTGTTTTTTTAGGTAAAAATACCACTTTTATTGGTAATCAATTCCCGGTAACTTTGCCATTTTATCTCGGTAATTCTACCACAGTCGATAAAAAATATTGGCGTGTTTACCAAGGTCCCGTAAAATTACCGAGAAAGTTCAATAATTTTACCGAGATTTCTCGGAAAATTACCAATTCCATAAATGGTAATTTTACCAAGAAAAAACTGAGATCAAAAAGAACCCTGGATTCTTGGTAATTTTACCCTTTCCTTAGTAAATACACCGATATTTTTCTTTCAGTGTGTTTTTTCAAGGTCTTAGACCCTTCTCGAAGGCAGAAGAGTCAGGAATACTGATTCTGGGCGACCACAGTCAGTAATATCCTCGAAAAGTCAGAGGAAGAACGCGTCATGGATTATATAAATTCACGGGAAAAATTCACTCAAGTTTATTGCACATTTGAAATATAGTTCGAGGAAAACTTCCCACTTTGTGCCTCTATCAATATCACTGTTGAGTCTCTTGAGCCATCGAGATCGTCCTTCCATTCAAAGGTTGAATCTCTCGAAAATTTGAACCGATCATAGCACCGTGATTGTCTTTCAAGTGGCGGAACAGTCCCACCTGCAGACAAACAGAACGTTTCGAAGAATCAGCAGATTTATATACCGAGAAGCAAGCGGGTGACTCAAAATGGTTTCCATACATCGTCGGAAGCATCATTGATATTTTTTTTGTGTAGCAAATTAAAAGGAATGAATTGCGACCACTACCACCACGCCAGTGGTAAAGTTAAAAAAGTATCCGAGGGTAAGTGAATTGGGGCAAAAACTAGAGTCCCTTTATACTGAGAGTCAAGACAACACCCCCTCATGGAGTCACAAACGGGAATAAAGATTACAGAAATTGAACGATTTTGTAATCTTTGATCGGCCCATTCTCAAATTCCTTTCTCCGTTCCTTCTCTCATTCCGTTTGTTCCTTGCCGAACCCGTAATTCCCTGGTCCATTCCAGAATATAATCTTTGCAATTGGTGAAAATGTAATCTTTATTCCCGTTTGTGACACATTGAAGGCCTAAAATACGGGAACCAATCAGAAATGGATTTACATTGTCTTGACTCTCAGTATAAAGGGACCCTAGCAAAAATCAACCTAGAATACTTTGTTTACGCAATTTTATTCAGTTCCCGCCCTAAATTTGAATTTCAAACTTGTCCCGAATTCGCCGCCAATCCTCTAGCCAATAGTAGAGGTGGTTGAAAAGTAGCTCCATTTTTTGCTTTTAGCGCTCCGTCTTTATGTCTTTGGTCCGCATTCAGTAACAGTCCCGCAAGAAGCCGCAGAAAACGACTGTCGTCGTCCTAATCTAACTGTCGCTCATGTTGTGTTACGATTTCACTGTTGGCATAGCACAGGATCCCCCTATAGCCCTGCATAGACGATCAAATTCCGAACCGATTCCGATCAAAGTAGACATGCTGATGACTGGTGGTCACCATCTACCATCAAATTTTGACGGGCCGCACTTTTTTGTTCAAAGTAAGATCAGAACGGAGTGCCACCATTCATCATTTCCTGCCACAGGAAACATTTCTGCCAAGTTTTCATTTTAAAATGAAGCAAATTAATGAGCTTAAGACTGATGACTCCCGACAGTTTGATGCTACTTTGATCGGAATTGGTTCGGGAATTTGATCGTCTATCCAGGGCTATAGTCTTTGGTCCGCATTCGGTAAAAGTCCCGTTAGAAGCCGCAGAAAACGACTGTCGTCGTCCTAATCTAACTGTCGTTCATGTAGTGTTACGATTTCACTGTTGGCATAGCATAGGATCCCCCTATCGTTAGTTTCTAGATCGTTGTTAGCACGGCAGAACTGACCTGTTGATCGGTGACTTGAACCGGTGCCCCGGGGTAAGCGATCCAGCGAACACTCTCGGTGTACGGCGGAGTGGTGAGGGAGCCGATGTAGGTGTGCCAGCCGTTCGGAGTGGCGTACGGTTTGAACACCGAGAGGATATTCGGCTCTGCAAAGTCCTCCGAACCGTCTTCTCGGATCCTGCTCAGGTGTCGCACGATCAGATTGAAGAGATTACTATCCGCGCTCTTCTTCGGCGATGCCTGTCGGGCATACATCAGATACTCGTAGATACACTGGAAAAAAAACACATTGGATCTAGAGTCCAGACTCATGAAAACATTGACAAGAAAAAAGACTCATGATTCGATCAGATTTAAGCTTGAATCAAAAGGAAATCCGCTCAAATTAAGAGACTTGGTTCTTGATTTAAGCTTAAATCTAATTGAATCAAGAATATTTTTTCTTGTCGATGTTTTTAAGAGTCTGGACTCTAGATCCTATGTGTTTTTTTCCAGTGTACTATGTTTGCAGAAAATCCAAGAATCCAATGGGTCATCTGGGCAGAAACGCCGTATGAAAATTCGAGAGTTGCCAAGTTTTCTCCGATAAAAGGTTCATTTTTGGAGAGATTTATAAATGTGTTCTCTTGAACCGTTCAGATAACTTTGATCTGATTGCAAATAAAATGTGCTGGAAATCAGGAGGAAACATTTTAACAGATTTCCTTAAAATCCGTATTTTATCGAAGGAAATTTTGCAACGTCTGGACAACCCTGCGGCGCACACAGGACATTATTGACTAAAACTGCAAATATTGATGTTTAATTCGTCACACTTTAAATTTTAAGGGGTGTCTCTGGAAGAATGTTTCTCGAGGAAACCAATAGAACCATTTTTACAATCTCTGAACCCTAGAAATGTTTAAACTTTTGGCACGATTTGGACGGATTCACTCTTAAGAAACATCCTCTGCAGCCGCAGACAATTCCTAGGGAAATACTTTCCTTAACACTCCCTGATGATTCCCTCTCAAAATAATGTGAATTTGAACTTCGCGTGAAGCGGCGCGACGCCATAAAAAACGCCTTCAATTGATTGAATAGGCACGCCGAGCTCCTAGGAGGTCGAATAGTGGTATCACGCCCAACAGCACATTTCGTAACACTGCTTATCATAAACCGTACGGAGTTTTAACACTTATTTTTGGCATTCGACAATCACTTAAGGTGATTCGATGGACGCCATACTTTGTGTCAGAACGGCATGCGATATATCGCATCAATTGGTTCCATTTTTTCAGCTACTCGTCATTTTTCTCCAATTTTGAGATCACCATTCTGTTGTCAGGAGACTTAAGCACTCACTTACCAATTTTAACAAAGAAATTCAACGTAATAAGGGCGTGGTTTTTTAGAGAGAAAACATCGCATTCGATACTGATGTCGAAACTGCACCCGAATGCGATATTTTCTCTCTAAAAAACCACGCCCTTCTTACGTTGAATTTCTTTGTTAAAATTGATAAGTGAGTGCTTAAGTTTCCTGACAACAGAATTGCGATCTCAAAATTGGAGAAAAATTACGAGTAGCTGAAAAAATGGAACCAATTGATGCGATACATCGCATGCCGTTCTGACACAAAATATGGCGTCCATCGAATCACCTTAACTTCCATGAATTAATTTGAATATGTTTACTCGAGTTATCCAGATGAAATCATGAGTAAAATTTTTCGTGAAGTTTAAAAAATGAAAAAGAAAATACATAGGAATAGGGGGGTTTTCCTAGGAATGCGTAGCCTCCGCGAGAATTTTTGCCAGAATGCAGGTGTAGTTTTAGTCATACGGAGCGGCATCGCTTTACTGCCGTCTTGAGGGAGAACGCCGTCAGTGGCGTGGCGTGCTTTGCGATACATCGATTGCTGTGTCATTCAAACATATGGAAAAGGATTGATAAACACGGTGTTCGCAGCAAACACCTTGATAATCGATCTTTTACCATACGTTTAAATGGAGGAATATCGATAATCGATCATTCACGCCACGCCACTGAACGTCGTGTGAGCCTTCATACGTTGCCAAATTTCCTTTGACAGACCGCACAATCTGGAACATTTGGAAATGCTTTTCTACCGATTTTTCAGAGAGATTTGTTCAAAACTTGATCTTCAGTGTTTGCGAGGTCCGAGGTTCAATATAGACAATTTTCCTCTCAAGTGTATATGTTTTTGAGATGAAATTGGGCAACATTCGAGTGCTCATTAGTCGTTTTTCTTAGCAGTGGCGTGGCGTGCTTTGCGATATATCGATTGACCTGACATTTGAACCTATGGGAAAAGATCGATAAACAGGGTGTTTGCAACGAACACCTTAATAATTGATTCTTTATCGTAGCTTCAAACAGGAAAATATCGATAATCGATCATTCACGCCACGCCACTGTAATTCTTATTATGGCCCTTTAGGCATTCCATGCGGAAAGGTCATTGAAGAATTACAAATGACAGACAAACCAATCCTTATACAATCTTCATGTAGAAATTATTAAATACCTTTAAGAAAAATGCCACGACACATATGCCATCCGCCTGCCCAAGAGCTGTGTCAACAGAATCGTACTTGGTGTTATGATGAACACAATGCACTTCCATTGAGTATCTAGAAACACGAGGGAAATGATTATTTTTTCGGATTTAATTTTTCTACAAATCGTTCTGATGCGTGAGGTGATGTAGCACTTTCAATGAGATGGTTATAGGACATTTCGTCAACGATTTTTTGTCCGCGCACCTGTTTTTTCCAGTAATTTACGGGAGTTTTGGTCCACGTGCCACTTGAGACCCAAAGTTAATTGGCCCACATGTAAATACAAACGACAATTTATTGCTCACGACGTTTTTGGATGAAAATATATAATGTCTTGGAAGAATGAGGATTTGCTTGTTGTTTTGTTTGGTCTGTTTGGTCCAATAACGAAGAATAATATAGTTGAGAGTTTTGGTAAAAATGGGGGAGCGTCAATTCCATGAGACAAAATTCACTAAAACTCTCTACACCTCTTTGGTGTAACAGGACTTAATTATCCTTCAAGAAATTCCCACCTTGTTATACCTGGACCGGATAAACATCTTGATTTGCCTTAGCTAAAGGCTCTTAGATTTTTCCTGTGTACGACAGGTATCTTGATTTATTTTGCGAGGAAAGATCTGTACTTTTAAAGGATGCCTGTCATTTTTAATACGTTCAATTTCGTATGATACGTCAGCGCGAAACGCGCATTGGCGCCTACAAACCTAAGTGGATACTTCAAGCATTGTGCAATGCGTGAAGTATCCACTTAGGTTTGTGGGCACCAGTGAGCCTCTCGCGCCTCGCGCTATCAGCACGCCGCTCCGCTCTGGTAGGCTTTAATATTTAGCGTTTTTTAACTCATGATTTTGAAATGTTAGCACACTCTGCATTGATTATTCTCATTTGAATTGATGGTAAGAAAATATGTATCAATTTATCAAAGGAGAATAATAATATAATGTGTGTTTTTTTAAATATTGGTGGTTCCGTGTCGAATTTAATGATTTTCAAAGCACTTTAATTTTTCTTTTACATTTTGTGCTTTTATTGTGCTGCAGCGAGGTGTACGCTGTACGCGCAACGAAACGCTCAAAATTTGACGTATTTGACTCTAAAAGATCGATGTACAAATGGGTTAAAACTAAAGATTGCGTGCTTCTTGGTTTTTTCCCCTCTTTTATTCATTTTTGCAGTTTCTGTCGACACAACTGCGGCTCATTGAGATTAATGTCGCTTGGAAAAGGTTTTACAAATATTTGTCACGTTTTAAAAATATAAATGTTTTCAAAATGAAGTAATAATTTCGTAAAGAAAAAATAAAAAAAATAAAAAAGTACCTATACATATATGAGGTATATTGTACATTCAATATTTTAAGGATAGAAATAAAACCAAATATTCACCAATGACAATTTAAAAAGATGATTCAAAAGGAGAAAGTAATAACATTTCATCTAGAAAATGAGCAACCATATCAACACCTCCTTTTCTCTCAATTTCTCATTTCCATATTGTCAATATAATTTTACATACCGACTAAAATATAACGCTTGGACCAAGTCACCGTTGCTTATTTCATGTGTGGGCGTAAACTACTGGACAAAAAAGGTGCGCGAATAAAAAATCGTTGACAAAATGTCCTGAAACCAATGAGATTCTTGAAAAATTGTATTATATAGGAGTACACTGCCGTGCTAAGGAAGAACGCCGTATGAACATTCGAGAGTTGCCAAATTTCCTTCGATAAAAAGTTTATTTTCGAGGAAAGTTATCAATGTTTTTCCTTTAAATTTTCAGAATCTTTAGGTGAAATTGCGAACAAAATTATCTCAAAAATTGGGAGGGAAATATTCATAAGTTTACCAGGAAATTTGCGTTTCGTCAAAGGAAATTTGGCAACGCCTGAAGGTTCATACGGCGTTCTTCCTCAGCACGGCAGTATAAAACCCCCTGGAAAAATTCCGCAAATGTTTGAAAAAAATGTCACTCCTGTTTCCTAATGAAGCGGGCTGATTAATGGGGATGATTAATGAGGATGATTAATGGTCCCTTAAAATTTGGGCACATTGGCCTCGCAGAGGCCCCTTCTGGCAGATTTTTGGGGCCCCATCTCCAACTTTCTTAAGAAATCTCGCAGATCCCTTTATGGTCTCTCTTGAATCCTTCTACCCTCTTTTATCGGGAGAGGCCACAAAATTCCTTCTTGGCGGAGCCCTCCCCCCTCCCGAAAATTTGGAGCTACTGCATGCTCCTTGAATTCGTCTTTCATTCCAAATTTTCATTTTTAAAGTGAAGTAATAGTTGCATACATATTTTTGGAAAATTAGTATGGGGTTAGAAGTCTCATGATGTAGTTATTTTCATAATTTTCAATGAATAAATATCGTTGTAATAAACAACGTCGGTTAAAAATACCTTCTCGTTGACTTCTTATTGAAATTTCGAATCAACGTATGTAGAAAAAATTTCAGTCATTACTTTAAGCTCTCTGACTCCCTAAATTTGTATTCTTTGTCCCAGTTTTTCCTACCGTCCTAATTTGTTAAATTAAATTTAACACTTTTTAATTATTTCTGAGGCTATCCATTGGAGTTAGTGCCTACACGAGCGCCAGCGCGCTCTATTCAGATTTTGGAAATATGGACTAACTATAGGGTCTTTCGTGAGTTACCGTTATTTTAGGTGATTCGGTTCCAATTGTGGTCACACTGGCATGAGATGAATCACATCGTTTATATCAAAAGTCTCGGCAGATTTTGAAATTTTAGCCAAAAAAAGGACAATAGGCACGAGCCAAACCAAAAAAATTGCGAAATTCAGAGAAATGAAAGCAAAAAATATGTTTGGAAAAAAACCTTGCATTCGATACAGAAAGCGATAACTGTATCAAATGCGAGGTTTTTTCCCTAACATATTTTTTGCTTTCATTTCTCAGAATTTCGCAAATATTTTTGTGTAGGCTGATTCTGTAGGCTCTTGCGCAGGGCCTGTTGTTCTTTTTTTGCTAAAAATTCAAAATCTGCCGAGATTTTTTATAAAATCGATGCGATGTATCGCATGCCAGTTCGACCACGTCAGACACCCTGACGAATCAATCAATCACTTCCTTTGTCCATTGCAACCGCCCACTTCCACAAATGAATTGGTGACTTCGAAAACACACCAACTCGGGTTTTTTTCGATTTTCACTTTTTTACGGTTTAGTAACACTCATGGATAGAAGCATCTGCTCGCAAAAGGTTTTGAAATTGCAATCGGAAGTGCTTGAAACAGCGACGAGGAAAAGGAAAAATCGAATTATTTCATTGGAAATACCAATTTTTGGCCATTTCAAGGGAAACGGGTGACCATCCGATTTTGCGGTTTTCTTTTTTCGGTTCAGTATACCTTGTACCAACAAGTTATATAAATTTTCAAGCGTTATTCAGGTCGAAAAATATAGATTTTTCTGGGCAGACTATGAAAAATCAGTATCTTAAAGTCGGTGAGAACGGGAACACACAAACTCTGAAATTTTTAAGCGCTTAATTCTCTGTCATCAAACATGGTGTATTGATTTCAACTTGGTTCTTTACAAAGTCTCTAAGTACTTGTCCTTTGGCACCAAAAAGGCTTTTCTTGAACTAACTTCTTCGCCCGCTGCGCATGTGTTCCCTGAACATTTTTTTTTTCTGAGTTGGTGTGTTTTCGAACTCACTGATTCAAATAGGATCGCTTAATCCCACGTCCATCCCTTTGTCTTTGTTATCTTTCGCTTTGTCCATCAATTTAGATAATCAGCTTATGATGGTTTGAAAAATAAAGTGAGAGGATTACAGGATACTAACGGATGGCCATCGACAGTATGTTCACTGCCAACATCACTCTGATTGCCCCAATGAAAATGACACTGAGCGAAACGATACGCCGTTCCGTTGAGCGGGCCTCCCGTCATAGTTGCCCGGTTTTCTCCTCTCCGAGACTCACCGATCTGGACTGAAAATGATCAAACAGGGTTGCCAATGGGTCTCTTGTTCGCAAGAAATATAGCCAACTGAATGAACTTCATACGGGTGGATGGAGATGTTGCATGTGTGAGGAATTTGCGATTTGACTGTTGATTCTTATGTAAAAGCTCGCGAGAAACACGATGGTGCCACTGGTTTTCTCTGAAATCAACTCTCAAGCTCAAAAAAAAGCTCTCAAGTTGAGGCCAAAATGGAGGGGATATTCTACGCTATCCTGAGAGTCCCCATCTTCATAAAAAAAAACTCTTCATGCAAAGATAGGGACCAAATACATTGAAAGGGCTGCCACTTTATTTGGGGACTCCAAAACTGAAAACACGGCATCACTGCTAATGTATTTGCTCCCTGTCTCTACATGGAGAGTTTGTCTTAATGTAGAGGTGGACTCTCAGGATAGCGTGGGATATCTCCTCCATTTTGGCCTCGACTTGAGAGCTTTTTTGGTGCCTGGGAGTTGATTTCAGAGAAAACCAGTGGCACCATCGTGTTTCTCGCGAACTTTTACAAAAGCATCAACAGTCAAATCGCAAATTCCTCACACATGCAACATCTCCATTTACTAGAAAATCACGATGAGCACATCAAAAAAGTCTGGAATCCACTCTTCAGCACGCATTCTGCGTGTTCGTAGTTCATATCGATTCCTATCGATTCCCCGCAGACAGTCATTTATAGTTTTATAGGTACATTAAGACTCTCTTGCACTCTTTGGGTTTTTCCTTCGTCCCATAAAATCGTTAATTTTTATAAAAGCGGAATCGGACTACAATTTGCAATTGAGAACTATAACTTCTGGCTCAATTAAAAAACAAAGTATGTATACTATTACTACCATTAGTTTCTCTACAAACGTATGTGTTTTTACAAATGAGTCAGAGATTGTAGTTCCTAATTGCAAAATGTTGTCGAATTTTCCCCTAGTCACCGATAGTTTTATAGGTGCCTTAAGACTCTATCCTACTTTCTGGGGTATTCCTTCGTCCCATAAAATAGTTGGACGTATTTCTGTCAAACGGAACTAAGCGCCATAGGGGGAGGAAGATAGAGGGCGGAATCGGGCGTCGCGTCGGGTTCATTCCGTCCTATACTCGCAATGCTTTTCCATGGCGCATGGCGCTTAGTTCCGTTTGACAGAGCGCGCTATCCGGCATTCTAAATTCCTCAAAAGGAACTCAAATTGGCGCTTAGTTCCGTTTGACAGAAATACGTCCAGTTAGTTTTTAGATAAGCGGAATTGGACTACATTTTGCAATTGAGAACTATAATTTCTGGCTCAGTTTAAAAACGAAGTATGTGCCATAAGTTTCCTCACAAACATATCGACGGTGAAAGTCGGCAATCACATAAGTAACTCGTTTGCGGTGTCTGAAAATCTCCGCCTCTACGTCATTTTTTTTAAAGGAGAACAAATTGATATTATTTCTTGAAGTTTTTGCAGAATTTTCTTCGCATTGAGAAGAAAAATCATGACAGATTTAAAGAATTGCCGTTGAGTAGTTTTCCATTTAAAGAATAAAGTATGACAGGAAGTCTGCGACGTCGCAAACCGAGTTATGTGATTGCCGACTTTCACCGTCGATATGTGTTTTTACGAATGAGCCCGATATTATAGTTTCTAATTGTAAAATGTTGTCAAATTGTTTCTTAGTCATCGATTCTTCGCAGACAACAGTCACGCTGTTAAAAATCAATGATTTACTCTGAGTGAATAGACGGCGTGAAAAAAAAAAATCCAGAACGAAATTCTCGCCGCACTCTGAGTGAATAGATCAGAGCGTGAATATCACCAATAACGGATGAATTAGTTTAGCTCCCTCAAGTAGCGTGAATTCAGTGTTATCCGATATGACCGTCGAGTGGCTATGCGGTAACGCTCTTGTCTCTCACCGCCGCGACTCGGGTTCAAGTCCATGCTGCGGCAGTTCCGTTTTACATTTGCCCGTCAGATTTTCACTCCGGCCAGAGCGCAAAATTCGCGCCGGATCCATGCACTCAGAGTAACAGGTGGTCAAAATAGCAACTGAGTAAGCGTGAATTTCGCGCCGGGATTTTTAACAGTGCATCGATAGTTTTATAGGTGTCATCATAGCCAACTTGCAAGAATAAATGGGATCCGCACCTGTCCCATGGTCGTTTTTAATCATGGGCGAATTTTCGGGCGACAAATGGAAGTGTCCATGGAATCTTAACGGAGGGTATCCTTTCGGGACAGCGTCGGCAGTGTGGAAGTTGATCGGCGATTGCTGGCTCGTGGCGGTCGGCTTCGTGGGTTTGGGATGGCGTTTAATTGGCCGTGTGAAGTTGAAGTCCAAGTCCATCGAACCCTCCCTGCAACTTCCTGCATGGAGATTCTCAGATAGACGTATTATTTATGCTAAATGGAACTTGAGTCCCTTTATACCCAGAGTTACGACATCTCAATTCTGGTCGGGTTTGGCTGGGCTCAGAGACAACTGGAAGTGACCAAAAAAAAAATCCAATTCTGGTTAGATCTCGCTCATGGAGTCACAAATGAGTGCACCAAGATGGCGGTGGCTCGAATTTGAACAAGACTAATTAAAAAATAACCAAATTGTGACTTATCAAGAGTGAATTGTTATTTTCATCGAACCAAAATGAAAAAAAATTGAGAAATTATCCACAAATCAATCTAATTTTATTTTATTGCAATTTCTTTGGTTAGGTTTTGATCAGTTTTGTTGATATTGTTGTTTTTGGATGGCAGACATCGCAGGATTCCAATATCGTTCGTTTGAGTGCACACTTTTGTGACACCATGGTCAGCCCAGGCCAGCTGATAATTGAGATGTCATAACTCTGGGTATAAAGGGACTCTAAATGGAACTGTGCAAGTGGACAGATGNGGGGGGGGGGGGGGGGAGGGTGCTCGTTAGTTGAGGGCCATATGAATGAAGCGGGATTGTAAAGCGCCAGTGACGTCAGCGGCAACGAAGGCGTCTCCATTATTGTTCTTGCTCGGCTTTAACTCATGAGCCCTATCCATAACGCTCTTGTCACATATCCACGGCTCACGAGTTAGCGCTAAGTTCCTCATGATTTAATGTCAAATCCCGCTTTTCCATTTTCTCAAAAGGAACTATACATATTACACTTTTACATTGTTTCTTATCCAGCTCACCACGAACACACCCCATCTTTCCACTTGCACACATATTTTAAATCACCACATAATCTGCCGTGCTAAGGAAGAACGACATATGAACCATCAGGCATTGCCAAATTTTCTTCAACAAATCACGAATTTTCGGGAAAATTTGCGAATATTTCTCTTCCGGATTCCCGGAAGATTTTTTTCGTAATTTGATCCATTGAGGACACCGCGCCAAGAACAGCCTATAGGCGTAGAGGTCGTTATTACGCCCATCTGCTTTTCGGATTCTAAGTACCCTGGACTATGCTGTGGTAGCGAAAGAATATATATAGGTATTGCTCGAGGTCGGAAAACCTTTTTTTTCCGTGTTAAGTCAGGCCACTGGATCGATGGGTGCAAGAACGACCTATTAGCGGGCCTATAAACTTAAGGGAAGGCTAGAATTGTATTTAGCAAATGGGTGGTTTTTATACGAGGATTAAAAATAAACAAGTGGTAGGGAATATAACAAAAGAATTCGAACGATGCAAAACGATAATCCGGATAGCGGAAGTTGGCTGTTTTGAAAACGCCTTCAAATGCGGCGTGATACCTCACGCATTCCGGAGAGTTCAAATAGTTGTATCATTGCGCCTTAGAAATACGACGGAAGATTACAATCAAAGTAGCCTTATACACGCTGGCTTTGTCGATTTCCTTTGACATTTTTGCAGTGGTGAAAGCATTGCTGAAGTGCGCTCCAGCTAGAATTGTATTTAGCAAATGGTTGGTTTTTATACGAGGATTGAAAACAAACAAATGGTAAGAAATAAAGCATAATAATAGGAACTTTGCAAAACAATAATCCGGATATCGGAACTTGGCTGTTTTGAAAACGCCTTCAAATGCGGCGTGATACCTCACGCATTCCGGAGAGTTCAAATAGTTGTATCATTGCGCCTTAGGAATGCGACGGAGGATTATAATTGAGGACATTGCACCAAGAACAGCCTATAGGCGTATAGGTCGTTACTACGCCCATCTGCTTTTCGGATTCTAAGTACCCTGGACTATGCTGTGGTAGCGATAGAATATAGATGGGTAACGGCTCGAGGTCGAAAAACCTTTTTTTCCCCACTTAAGTCAGGCCACTGGATCGATGGGTGCAAGAACTACCTATAAGCGGGCCTATAAACTTAAGGGCCTATAAGGTGGTAGTTACCCCTTTCTATCGATATTCTTTCATTTTGCGTTAATCATGCGTGATTAAAATGATTTATACTTCATATTGCCACCAAAATGACGGTTGGGTGTGATAATGGCCTATAAACCGCTTTTTTAAATTAAATATATTAGAGTGTAAACCCAAAATGTATCGCGAAATCTACCCGGCATCCTTCAATAGAAATGTTAGGCTACCCAAAAACACCAAAACAGGGTACCTGCATAGAAAATTCTGCGCAGTATATCAAAAACAAAACTTTAAATGCGTTTTTCTCAAAATGCGGTTTCAAGTTATAAGCTGTTCTTGGTGCGGTGTCCTCAATTAAAGTCCGCCAATTTCAAGGTAAAACATTCATAACGTTCCTTAAAAATGAAACTTTTCCGGGAGGAAATTCTTGAACATTCGAATGCTCATACGGCGTCTTCCTTGGCACGGCGGTAATCTATTCTGCCGTGCTAAGGAAAAACGCCGTATAAACATCCGTGAGGTGCAAAATTTCCTTAAAATGTTTATTTTTGAGGAAAATTTTTAATATGTTTCCTTGAAATTTTAAAAATTTTCAGATCAAATTACCGACAAAATTATCTGAGGGAATGGAAGAAAAATATTCACACCAGTGTGCGAAACTCACAGGCACCAACGCGCCAAATGCGCCTAAAAAATCAGTCATGGCGCCCAAAAAATGAAGTCTTTGCGCCATCGTGGCCCGTAAAAATTGCCCCCCCCCCAAAAAAAAAAAAACGCATTGTTTTTCTGTTTGGTGATTTTTCGAAATTTACCCCAAGTACAGCTATTAGTTCTGTAACTAAAGCATCTTGCGTGTAACTTGTCACTAAATGCGCCGTGATACATAGGCAAAAACTGAATTTGGCCCCTAAAAAAATCTTCTATGGCCCCTAAAAATCGAGCTTGGTGCGCCACATGGCTCCTGAAACTCCAAGGTGGGTTTCGAACCTGATTTACAAATTTTCTTGAAAATTAGTGATTTGTCGAAGGGACTTCGCCTGAAGGCTCATACGGCGTCATTCCTTAGCAAGTCAGTATTCACTTAGTACTTTCAGAATATGAAATAAAAAACACAAGGTTCAGCGACTCTTTCACGCCTTACCACGAATGACGAATGACATGAAAAGCAGCACGCTGACGCCTAATTGTTGGAACATTTTTCACTTGCATCGCGACGAAACTTGATTCATACTGAAGAGGAAGCAAGAAATAGATAACGACTATTGTCGTCCAAGCCGAGATAGATACATTTTAACTAAGTTTTAAGGTCATCCTCGCGGCATTCATCCGGGTTATCGTGTGGCGTTTCCAGCCGGAAAATTCGTCTGCCCGACAGAGAAAATGGACGTATTTACTGCCGTGCTCAGAAAAAAACGCCGTATGAACCTTCAGGCGTTGCCAAATTTCCTTTGATGAAACAGTAATTTCCTGGTAAACTTATGAATCTTTTCCTTCCAGTTTTACAGATTATTTTGTTTCCAATTTCACCTGGAGTCCCTGAAAATGTCAAGGAAAAATATTCATGCCTCTCCTCAAAACTAAACATTTTAATGAAGGAAATTTGGCAACTCTCGAATGTTCATACGGCGTTCTTCCTTACCACGGCAGTATACCAGTATCACTGGTCCAAATGAAAGACCTTCCATGATAGCGAAGAGCGCAGTAAGTGCAACGATGAAGTTTTGAGAAAACGGGCTTAGTAGCGTCTGACCGGAAAATGTTATTAAACGAAGCCTCCGTTCTGTGTCAAATTGCCACTGATCATCCGTAAGACTCTTAGATACCGTTTGGTTGATTTATTAGAATCGTCCTATTTTATTTCAATTTCATAAAGAGGGTATTTTTCATTTTCGTGCCAGGTCAGTGTTAGGCAAAACAGCTGTGAGCGCTATGTTCTACAATTCTACATGCTTTCTTGGTTGCGTTTCGGACACACAATTTTCAGGTTAGAAATTGGCAGAAAAGGGACGGGATTTTACTTAAAAGCTGTTTCGTTGGCTCTCTGGAAGAATAATGTCACCTACTGCTGTTTGGCCTGAAACTATGTCATCTTTCGCACACTTACGGCTTTATCATATGTCTCGTTTTCTTAAAAATAAAATGACTTTTGCTATTTTAGCCATTTCAAAGACTTTATCTGAAATAGATTAAACGAATTTTGATGGAAACTCGATTTCGGATATTTGACACTTTCTGCTGTCTTCGCTCTCTCGGCACACCGTATGCCCATTGCGGAGTTTCAAATATTTCCGCTCCTATTTTATTTTCACAAAGAGCAGCAAGCAACGGGGTGCATCAATTCGCATCAGAGCCGGATTAAGGGGGTGGCCACATGGGCCCATGGCGGCAAATTTAGGGGGTGGCAAATTTTGAAATTTTTTTGAAATGTAGGTATAAAAAAAAATGGGGTTCAGAAAAAAAAATTATCAATGAGAAAAGGGGACAAAATCTTTCTTTCCTGAGAGTATAGCAATTTCTAATTTTGTTGTTTTTCGGTGATACAAGACACAGCATCTTTAATTGGTCGAGTTAAGAGAGGGACTAAACACGCAATTTGGCCTGGAGCTCAGCGCAGAGAGGAATGATGACGAGGACTTGAGATGAAAAGGACAAGCCCTCGGCGCGGCGGTCGCATGTAACACATACTAGCGCCTACAAGACTGCATGAATACTTCATCCATTGCGCCAAACACAGCGCGGTCAGGAGCGGTTGGCGCAAAACGCATAGCGCCTACAAGACTGCAGGAATACTTCCCGCATTGCGCCAAATACAGTGCGATCAGCGCAGAGCAGTGGCGGAAGTTAAAATTATTAAAGCACATTTATGTTTGTCCTTTCTTAATTTTTTAGTTCAATGTTTATAAATGGAAGGCCTTGTCCACAAAGAGATAGGTTTACGGAACTTAACTTTCGCGCAAAGTTCCGTAAACTTTTGCCAGTAGTGTTGACAGGGCTTTCGCAAAAAATGTGTCAAACACGAGTAAACGCGTTTTATGCACCCCTCTCCCTCCGGCACGTTCACTTGATGGTTTCATTGATGTTTCAAAACGAATGAGAAGGGGCGGCAAGTTGGTAAATCCGGCCCTGATTCGTATACTACATTTCACACACGGGACATTTCGCCCTCGATTATTTGGACCGCATTAAGTAGAAAGAAATCAAGCCACACCGGCCAATTGGACAATTTATTTTTAACATGAAAATGGTTACGTGGGTCTTGTGAATTTTCTGCTTAGTGCAAAGCAAATTACTTAACATTTTAAAGGGAATCCGCACAAATGTTCTCTTGTAAAACACTAAATTGACAAGTTAAATCTGGCAATAGCTGATGCGGCTTATTTCCTCTCTGCTAAACGGGGTCCATTTGACCTGCATGGACAGAACTTTCAGAACAGCCCTTATATTTTTTACCCACATTTTTACTGTGCACGGGATCACGGGTAACAATACGATGCATTTCCGTTTGTGTATGCTTTATCAACGGAGAAAGATGAAAAATGTTTCTTATTGGTCTGTCAGAAAATTCATGAAAAAGTATCTGAAATAGTTCCAAATTATCAAAGCCCAGATTTCATTATGAGCGATTTTGAACAAGCAATAATCGGCAAGTTTTCCCGAATGCTATGACCAAACTTAGTTGCTTCCATACTGGACAAGGCGTACACAGACGAGTACAATTGGAGGGTTTCAGTTTCCAAGTAGTCAGGGCTGGATTTTCCTACTTGCCGCTCATGGGCCGCCTGTATTTTGTCGCCCCCTTCTCATTCGTTTTGAAACATCAATAAAAACCATCAAGTGAACGTCCCGGCGGGGGAGGGGTGCATAAGATGCGTTTACTCGTGTTGAACACATTTTTTTGGGAAAGCCCTGTCAACACTACTAGCAAAAGGTTACGGAACTTTGCGCGAAAGTCAAGTTTCGTGTACCTATCTCTAACGGACAAGGTCTTCAATTCAAAAGAAATGATCGAAAAAATTATGAAAGAACAAACACAAAATTTGGTTTAATGATTTTAACTTCCGCCACCGCGCCGCGCCGACCGCAGCATGTTAAGCGCAATGCATGAAGTATTCACGCAGTCTTGTAGGCGCTGTGCGTTTCACGCTGACTGCATTGTGTTGGCGCAATCCGTGAAGTATTCATGCATTCTTGTAGGCGCTACCCGTTTCACGCTGACCGCAATGACCGCACTATGTTTGATGTAATGCGTGAAGTATTCGTGCAGTCTTGTAGGCGCTAATATGTGTTACATGCCGATTGCCGCGCCGAGGGCTTCTCCTTTTCATCTCAAGTCCTCGTCATCATTTCTCTTTCAGTCGCGCCAGTCCTGGTCAAATTGCCGGTTTGGTATCTCTCTTAACTCGATTAATTAAATGTGCTGTCTCTTGTATCGCCGAAAGACGACAAAATTAGAAATTACTATACTCTCAGGAATTGAGAGATTTTGTAGCCTTTTCTCGTTTTTAATTTTTTTTTTCAAAATCAAATTTTTTTATACCTACATTTAAAAAAAATTGTAAAATTTGCCGCCACCTAGATTTGCCGCCATGGGCCGCGGCCCATGTGGCCACCCCCTTAATCCGGTCCTGCAAGTAGTATGCAAGCTCCGTTCAGGGAGGCATATAAGTTTCACTCACCTCCGACGTGTCGATTCTAATTTCACCTAGTAGATTCAGGTGAATGAACCCAACAACGTTTTCGCATAAATTTGTAGTTGAATGTAAGATCGTCAAAATTCTTAAATGCTACAATTATTCTTGTAGGTAGTTTCTTTTCCGGTAAAATTTTATATGCATATTTTCGCAGGTCTAGTAATATTTCAGGCGTAATATTTCGCATGTAGTATACGAATTGACTTGTACTTGTTCCGTAAGTCTGTCACAAATATGAGAAATCATGAGAAATCGGTGGCAAGTCATTGTTCTTAAAAATGTTCCTACTACAAATAAGTGTACCTAATACTTCTATCCTACTCGTTTTTTGTCCCATTACAATACGTTCTACGAGTATTATATCCTACCGTTTTATTTCCAAGGAGGAGTATTTGTCCTAACTCACATTTAACTTTAGGTATATCTAGAAAATATGGATGAATATATATGTAGTGGCGGTGTCGGGTGTCTCCTAGAAACCAACATAAGTGTGCGAAGTTAGGTCGCGAACTTTTCTCACTGCAGTCTGCTCTACTCATATTAAAGTATCTATTCAAATTAGGACAAATACCGAAAAAAGAAAGTTGGACATCTCACTCGTAGGACTCACTGTAATGGGACAAAAACCGAGTAGGAAAAAAGCAGTAGGAAAATTTGGGGTAGGAAAACACTTTTTAGGACAAATTTCCTAGCACCGAAAAATCATGATTTTTGCGTCAATGCACCTGTGCATGCCCTCGCATCTGTTCACATCTGTTCGCATCTGGTTCATGTGTTTTAAATCGCAATGGAAACATGACGTCAGAGAAGTTAAGTGACATCCCTGAATGGGCCTCAGGCCTCAAGCAAGTGTGTAAAAAAGTGCCGATGAAAAGCACAAAAGGACAATAAGTTTTAAAAAAAGGGAAAAAAGAGCCTGCTCCTAAATTCTATCAATCGAAAATTTTTTTATGCTCCTTCTAGGCCCACAAAGACTTTGAATGCAGGTAGTTGCACTGCGTTATTTTTAAAATCTGCATATAGTCAATGTGCATATTAATACGAAATTTGTCGAAATAATCAAGGAGTCCAATTCATCAACCCGTTGAGTGACATTTAAAATTGAAAAAAGAGTAAAGATGGAACAAGGTTACAGTTTGGTTGATAATGGATTTTGAGAAAATCAGAGACTGAAGTGTTTTTTCTGGAGCGCTTTTCAGTGCGCTAAACCTTAGAGTGCTGTCATTGCTGGCTGATGCACTCTTCTCTGTTGTCTACCCGACAGTTTACCTTTAAATTTGTCATGCATTTTCCTCTTTCATTCTGAAACCTTAATAGAATTTTACAGAAAATATTTTGATTAGTCTTTGAAAAAATAAAGCATCGGTGAAACGGTACGATGGTGAGACACATTTTTTGACTTCAGCCATCGTCATGTTTTCTAAAAGATTTCTGCACTCTGGTTCTGGTTTTATGAAGGTTTTATGGTCTAAACTGAAGAGAAGAACACAAACTGATTGCGGTAGACGCATTGGCTGTAAGACAGTAAGTTT